ATAGTGAATCTTACGCTGGCAGAAAATTTCTAGAATCGCATTTTATCACGATTTTAACTCGTTTGTGCGATGATGAAACATGAGATGCCATGGAACACTTTTCACGCGCTTTCTGCAACACGGGGAAGAAAAAAATATCATCAAACGTTCAGAGGGCACCTTGAATATCACAGGACACTTGTGAAAGTCGATGAATGCCTAAAAACTGACTCTCGTCTCTAGGAACGATTGATATGTCTTGTTCAAAAAATGCTAAAAATAATATATCGTTGGAGATTATTTTCAGTTGTCTAAAAGTCAATTATCGGGAATTTCAGTTTTTTTTTTTTTTTTTTTTAACAAGAACATTAAGTTCACGTTCACCTGGAGCAAATAATGCAAAAACATAAGCCGTCAGTGCGATAAAATAATATGTATTTCGCGTATATGCCCAGTTTAAAACTATTCTTCATGAAGCTCCGCGATAACACTCCCCAATTTGGGGTTTGAGGTACGTTACAAATCTCGTCCAAAAATAATGCGAAGCCTGAATTTTTTTTTTTTTTCCGCGAGCCATTTAAATTTAAAACAACCATTCTAGAATATAACCTCCGAGCTCAAAATACCTACAGAAACGGAAATATTCGCGAACTCTTCGGGCCAGCAATGAGCCAAGTTTCTGGGAAGATTTTCTAGGCATCTAAAAATAACTTTAAAAAAGCCTTAGGAAAAGTTTTTGTTTTCTTTTTCGTCCTTAGTTTACTTACTTTTTTAGTAAATCAATGAAGGCATTCAATGACGACTGAGTTTCTTCTTGATATTCGCGAAGGGGGCATTTTCTTTGTATAAAAGGTTGCGAGTAAGGTGCCGTCATACTGAAAAACCCGGAGACGAGGGGGCACTAGAAGGGGGGACAATACCTTCTCATATTGGTGCAATGTAGTGCCTGCCCCCCCCCCCCTTTTTTTTTTTCTTTGTACCCTTCGCTTCAGAGCTTTTGGTATGACCGCTTACCAACTGGCCTGCGCACCCACACCTATTTCAGGCTATCATATTCAAAAGAAAACCTTGGACTGCTCTGTGCTCTATAAAGTATTATTGTGTGTGACAAACACATATCGGTACCTACGATAAAATTATGAGCCTACTGATATCCTAAACGAAATTTCATTAGTGAACCGATTACTCTTTTTTTTCTTTTTTAGAGCGCAGCTCTTAGGCGCCCGTTTCCAACTTGAGTGGCGTCGGCGTAGCCGTCGGCGTAACCGCACGGTGCATTATGGGAAAATTTCCCCGCTACATTTAGCGGAAAAATGTTTCCCGCTAACTCTAGCGGAGAAAACTCCCGCCAAATCCAGCGGAAAAATTTTCCCGCTAAATCTAGTCGGAAACGTTTTCCGCTAAATCTAGCGGAAAATTTTCCCCGCTAAATCTAGCGGAAAAATTTCCCCGCTAATCTAGCAAAAAGGTTTCCCCGCTTAATCTAGCGGAAAAATTTCCCCGCTAAGTTTAGCGGAAAAATTTCCCCGCTACATTTAGCGGAAAAATTTCCCCGCTAAATTTAACGGAACAATTTCCCCCCTGAGTCTAGCGGAAAAATTTCTCCGCCAAATTTAGCGGAAAATTCTTCACTAAATGGGAGGCGAGGAGGAGAGGAGGAGGGGCATAGCCTCCTCTCCGTACCTTCCCTTCCTCCTCAGGAGCTGCGCTCAAATTCGGCGTTACAGGGAGTTGTAAACCCGCTTCACTTTTTTTTAAAGGAAAAACACCACAGTCTATATAAGTACTGAGGCTGCAACCCGTCTTCAACTGGTCTGTTTACCGCGTCCAAAAAAGTGGTCATTTGATTTTCCCTCGATGACGTCAGAGAAGTGTCACGCTACCGCCGGTCGCGATCCTGGCGGTGTGACGGCAGCAGTGCTGGGTATGGCAGACGCCTGTTCCGTTGCACACCGCTGTCCGGCTCGAACGTCCACGACAGCCTCGACAGTCGGGAGTTGGGATGCCGCGACGACAGCGACTCCCGCGTTTGCTCGTGCTTTTTGCAGGAACTTCCATGACCCACCAGTAGGATCGCGACATTCGGCAGTACGATAAACCGACTTTTGTTACGTCATTTGCATCCACTTCAGGATTACGTTCGATGCACGGTCGGAAAAGGACGCTAAACACACCACTCGAAGACGCGCTCCAGGCAACGTACTTGAAGAGTGCGAGCTTATAGACCACTCCAATAATTGCCTTATGCACGCCGTCTTCCTTGTCTGCCAGGCTCTTAACGCGTTCTAACGCGTTTTCCCGAGCTTTGGAAAGTCTCTGTAGCTGTTCCTATTTCTAAGAGCAGTGATTCGACATTGGTTAATAATTTCCGTCCTGTGTCGCTGTCGTGAAGTGTTGCAAACGTTGTTGTTGTTGTTGTTCTTGTTGTTTTTGAAAACGAAATACATAAGCGTGTTTATTTTTAAATTATCCTAATAATATTTTCATGTCAACACGTTTTTTTTTCTTCTTTTTTTTAAAGGAGAGGTCAGTTGAGTCAAATTAATTCTCGTTCTTAAGTTACTCTGCGCCAGTGGTGTCAAGTCAACGTCGAAAGCGTTCGATAGTGGATGTCATAATTTACTGCTACAGAAGTCTGACTTGCATGTTTTCTGCTCGCATCTTTGCTCTTAGATTCCCGCTTAGCAGATCGGTCGTCGGAACTCTGTTCGACTTTCTGATAGCTATTCCCACGAGTTTATCTCAAGTTCTGGTGTACCCTAGGGATCCATCAGGGGCCCTAAACTCGTGAAACACAAAGTTGGGGCCGAAAGTTCGCGGAGCGCGCCGATTGGATGTTGGCGACAAAAGCGCCAAGTCATCGTCGTGATTGTCCAATCGGTGCGCTCCCTCAACTTCGGCCCCAACTTCGCGTTTCACGAGTTTAGGGCCCCAGGGATCACTTCTGTTATTTTTGTTTCTAAATGATTTTCCTTTTTATATTGCTGATGCAATTTTATTTTGTTTGCTGATGATATTAAGTTTTTTTATAAGTGTGAAGTAATTGTCTGATTGCTCTCCTCTCCAAGAAGATGTAGAACGTGTTTCTAAACTGTGCGCCAAAAACTGCTTGTCACTTAGTCTGAGAAAACTAAATACATTGTGTTATCCAGAACGCGCGAAATACTTTATTTGTTATATAATCTGGGAGGCGCTCCAATTCCTAGTGCTCCTTTCATCATGTATCTCGGTGTATCCATCGGTAGTTCACTGTCCTTTAGTAATAACGTGTATATAACTACATAATGCAGCACTTTCACTTAGAGTATTGCGAATAATTTCACGATTGTGTCGCCAACTTTCCACGCCCCGTTGCTTACTGCACTTGTTCAGGACATTAGTCAGGTCAAGATTAGAATTTGGCTCAATCATTTGGAATTTATTAACTTCAACCAACAAGCTGTTGCGATCCAAAATATACAAAAAAAAAAAAACCGAATGATTTTAATCTCGCACGACCGTTATATTTGAAAGACATATTTTTACCATTATTAAACGCTACTTGTCTGATTTTCGTTGCACAAGGTTGCCGGGCGAAGTCATTACAGAGAATTTATATTTCTTCACAAAGTTGTACACGGGGAAGTGAATTCAATTGATTTGTGGCGTTTTTTAGACTTTCATGTTCCGTTAAATGTCAGCAGGAATATGCAAACGTTTTACCCATCTTGTGTGTCTACTGTGTCTCCTTTATTGAGAATTTGATTAGCATTTGATAAGGCCCATATTGACATTTTTCTCTGTTCCTACCAGTATATGTGTCATGTGTACCTGTGTCAAGGCGTGTTTTGCGTAGCCTTTTCAATCGTTCTTTAATTGTAGAAAAACATACACACACACACACTTTGCTGTAACACTAGAAAGGGACAATTTGGTACACGTTTAGATTCGAAAACAATTCAAGGACAAACAAAGACTTCATGGAAGAAAGCGGTTAAGGGGTCGAGAAAGAATCGTAAACAAACACGCCCTTATTTGTTCTACTCTGAACAGAGGGGAACTAAAGCGATAATCAAAAACTGTTATTGTTATTGTTCTTTATTGTTCTTCTTGTTTTTGTTGTGTTTTGACCTAGCCAGAAGTGCGCCCATTCTCCATATTACATAGGGGGCGTGTCTGTACCGCCGGCTTTCATTGCTAGCGCATTAATATCTGATCTCAATGCACGGAGGTGTTCGCCCGATGCAAAGAGGCCACAATAATTAGCAACCGCTGAGCCACATGTCCCCGAAAGAGAAAGGAAAAGAATGGGCGTTTTCTTTTGCGTTTGCGAACCACGTTTGCGAACCACGAACTCTAAATCTCCTCTCGGCAGAAATATGCCGCCTACTTCACCGCGATACGGAACAAAGACGCGTGCTTCAGTCGCGTCGACGCCCCCGGATGACGCCGCAGTAAATAAACTCTACGTAAAGCGCCTTCCCCTTCCGTCTCCGCTAATCGTTCGCAATGAAGGTTGAACTGAGGAATGCGCTGCACCCATTCTTGATATACGGCAAACCACGATTCTGCTGCGATAGAAGCAAAGGCTTTGGTTAATGCAACGGCCTTATCCAAAGAGCAATTGAAAAGTGCAAGACCAATGCACAGTTCCGGCGAAGGCTGAGTGCTTGGTCATGCTAAGCGTTTTTTTTAGGTGCGCCTGTGTGAATTAGGTTTTTGTGGAGGTCCTTGAGCTCAAGGCCTCTCCACGTCTTCGTGACGTCATCACACTACGACCAGCCTGGAAGTTCGGCTTCTTTCGGCGTTGAGCTCTCCCGCAGCGGCGTCCCTAGATGCGCGCTCGGCTGTTCCGTGCATCGGGAAAACTATTCATCCTGCTGTTGATCTTTTGTGCTCTGTAAATTAGGAAACCCATTCGGCGATTTATTTTGAATATTAGAGCTGTAGTTCAATGGGTGTACATGCAGGTGCTTACTAGTATAGCACTAAGAGTCAAATTCTTTAATGACAAACATATATTAAGGCACTGCACAGTTTTCAATTTTGGCGGGCCAAATATTTCGCGAATTAGGTCTAATGGATATATGTAGAGTTCATAAAATAAGTGGACGTTTGTACACTCAATAAATTCCGACTTAAGAAATCTTCCCGTGTGCCTCCCGATATTTTAGTTTGCTAAACATGGGGTTAGGAAAATAATGAGGTTTACCATTTTCCTATAGCTTCAGTATTTCATACTATTTTTCACGACTTTCTACAATAATCTGGCTCTTAATTCAATAAAATCAAGTAGACTTATGATATTATAACCCTGGATCATAATTTGTGCAGCACAGAAGTTCAATGATTGAATGTTTATTTACACTAAAAATGGAATGTGTGGACTGAATGAAAATCAGTCACATGAAGTCATCACAAGTAAGGTCAGTCAAAATAGCGTCAGTGCTTCAGAGTCTTCATCTTTCGCTTTTGGGTTAATTTCTTGAGAACCAGCTGGTCATTCTTTGTCTTGCAATAGTTGTTCAGTACAATGTTCGTTGCTGCGCTCAAAATGTGACGCATCACCAGCTGTGGCGAATGACCACTATCACACACATCGAGATCATTGGAGTCATCCAATATATTATGCGTGAGTGTCAGCAGTGCCGCTTTCTGGTTTGGCAACCCGTGGAATTGTGTGGCATACTTCTCGCTCCTCAGCTTGTCAAGCACTATTTCTGTTGTGACCACAGCAATGACGACAGCTGGCTGGGGGAACTTGAGTCCACCTCGGTTCATGCTTCTGATGATGTCCGAGTTCTCAACTTGGATGTCACGTTCCAGCACTAAGTTTGCTCTGCAGGCAGTGCAGGAGAGCTTCTTGAGTGCAGCGTGAGCACAGTAGCCTGCCACGTAGGTGATCGCTGCGAGGTTTGGAGCCTTGTTAGTAATGTCCATGTCCGTCACTTCAATCCTGAAGTTATCCAGTACAGACCCATCCATCTCGACTGCAGATGCTGCCACCTCCATATCTGGGAGCTGGAGGACTTTCTGAAGGCGAAGCTTCCGTTCAGATTCAAATATCTGTCTTATAGAAACATGATATTGGGCACCAGCAAGCTGTCGGTACTTTCCAAACCTGTCTTCCAAACAGTCGGTCTGGAATTTTCCGAGTAGTACGTAGTCAAATCCCATCTCTTGAAGGCAGTAGCTTGTCAGCTTCACCAAGGTGGACGTCGTGAGTCGGAGGGCACTGTGAGTGTCCGGTGTGAGCCTGCCTGTGTCAAACTTCAGGGATTGCCACAGATCTAGCCATTCTATCACATTGGTGAGGTACTCGATTTGTGGGCCTGACAAAGACGTGACTGGAGACTGGAAGTCATCTCGAAGTCGTCGGCCCTTGTTGCACGTCTTAACATTTACGATGCTCCACCACCTTTCGACAATCTTCAAGAACTCTGCTGTTCCAGCGGCATATTCCAAGCCAAGTCGAAGCCCACAGGTCTCTAAGGCTGCGATTGTAGATGGACTGAAAACCTTCAGAGCCAGCTTGACATTTTGTCGCTCCATGTTGGATGGATGCAGCGCTTTCATCGATAGGGTTGGAGCGGACTTGATGAGCTGGTCCTGTTCCTTTGAGTGAAGCTCCCGAAGCGTCTTGAACGACGCTGCCCATGGTTTGGTGAAAGGACCCTTGATGGGAGGGAAGAACATGCAGGTTCCGATGTTTTTCTGATTAATCCAATTGTTCCTCACGCACTTTAGTATGTGAACAGGGTCGACAACAAAGAAAAGAGGACACTCCGGGTCTGAGGGATGTGGATAGACGCTGCAAAGTTCCGGTGGTGTTTTAAAAAGGGACATTGTTTTTCTGTTTATGGAGTTGTTGTCTGTGATGACAGCGACCACATGCAAGCCTACGTTCTCCAGCTCAGTAATGATGCTGCAAAGAACAGTGTGCAGCTGCTGCGCATTGATTTGATCAACTGGAAGAATATGGACAACATTTTTCTGGGATGAAAGCAGGCTTTGCATCATAAAGACGTGTGCAGTCTTTGCTGCATTTGGGCTATTACTGGCAGCACCAACAACTGATCCGCCTTTGTAGTCAAAATAGGGCTGCAAATGAATTTCATCCATCATGAGCACCACTGTCTTTTCGTGTTGCTTCATCGTAGTAGCCAGCTTCTTGGCATATGATAAAAGGGAAGTACTTTGCTGCTCGGCCGCTGGGCTAACTTCGTAGGAACCACAAACACGTCGTATAGTAGACTGGTGAGGAAGTTTCAAGTTTGCAGAACTCCTCAAGAACCTGTAAGCATGAGGAGAGATGGTAAAGAGAAGGCTTGAAAAAACTAGCAACTCTGAAGAGTACTGAGGTGTCTTGCTGAGAAGTAGAACAACCTGTTCTTTCAAGAAGCTCAAAGCGCTATGCCGCTCGTCATCTTTCAGATTAGAGTTTGTAACATCTTCAAGGAGTGAAAGCGCAAGTTTCAGTATGGCACTGACTCTGTTTTCGGTCTCGGATGCACGCATTTCCTCCAAAGACTCCACAGCATCCAGCAGACGGGACAAATCTCGCATGTCGTTTACTGTTCTTGGAATGGCGTCTATGCCATCAATCTTCGTGACCTGGACATCTTGGAAGAACACTTTCACGGAGAGGTCTTCGGAGATTGTAATTGACTGCCGAATTAAGGGGGCGTTGTCCACCTTAAGATTCAGGAACAGTAGGCAGTTCTGCCGAGAAATAACTGTCCAGAACTGGGACACCTTGAGACATGGAAGGCAATCCAGGAGAGCTTGAAATGTTTGGACCTTGTTTCTCTCTTCTTCTTCTTTATGCATCTCGAGAGAGAGGCTGATGGCTTCTCGCAGAGAAGTTGCGTCGAGGCGAATCCTCTTCTGCTCAGGTGTCTCTCGGGATGTGCTGGCAGTGGAACTTGACAGGTACGCCGGGCAGTTAGGAAATATGCGTGGCACGGCGTCAGGGCGGAGACGTGAAAGCTTCAGTTTGGCTTCGATCACTCTGCCAGTTTTTGAGTCCACATACCTCGTTGAATCGAGAATGTCTGAGGCTTGAAAGTGTTTTTCACATACCTGAAGATAAAAAAAAAAAAATCATGCATTTTAAAAACTAGAAGGGGTCACAAGTTTGATATTACTGTTAAGGACCTCATTTTCGCTCGTTCGACATTTGAGGAATATTTTTCAGAATATAGTATTCGCGATTCGAAATTGGCTATGTAATCGTAACTATAATGTGAAATTTATTCGCGGGATAATTTTCTTGCGATGGCATGCTATCGAAAAAATTAAGAAAATTAAGTCGGTAAAAGTAAATAACCACAACGCAAAGGCACAAATGCAGCGCGAGTGAAAGGTCGAATGACTGGCATCACATCGCAGTTTTCTGCGCTACACTTCGACGTAAAAGTGTAGCAGAACTGGAAATCGTGAATACACACATTTCTAGAGAGTAGATATTTGATTCCAAGCAAGCAACATGAAGAGCGAGAATATGGACCCACAATGACTGACATCCGACAAGAAAACTTACGAATGCTGCTCTTACCACTGAGCGCTTTCCGGGCGTGAAGTCCTCACGTGGGATGGCTCGTATCCATTGCGCGTTTCTGGTGGGATCCGATGGGAACGTGAACACACGCACAGTCTCCTCGCCGTCATAGTTCCCGCGACACTCGGGAACACAGCAGTGTCCAGGCATTTTCACGGTTCACTTGCGAGAAAGGCTCGTTCCGCAAAACAAAGATCGCACAGTCGGTCACCAACGGTCGGCCATGATCCCCGCTGATGATGATTACTTCGCTGTGAATAACCAGATCGGCTCGAAATAAGATTGATCAGATCGCGGAACGCAAGTCTTTGAAAAGTTCTACATCCTACAAATATTTTACAGTCATAAATAGATATATTTACGACCAATATAACCTTTTTTTTTCAACCTGCAGCTTAATTATAACGCTTCTTATTTTCGTGAAATACGAAGCAACGGCTTGTTCTCCTCCGCGCGCACGTGACAGCTGCCAAACTGCCGCTCCAAGGTCGCGGAATCCGACCCCGCCGTCCTGCCTCCTCCGCGCGACGAACGAAAAAAACCGAGACGGCTCCGTCCGCTCCGTCGTAGTGTGCTGACGTCACGTACTGGGAGAGGAGGATATGCAGAGGCTTTGAAGTAGTCTAGGTGGTGTTGGCTGTGCCCATTCGTGCGTAATTGCTGCCGGTCGGTATGGCTTTCGCGAGAAGCCATACGTGTTGAAAATGATTCAATAGACGCAGTGTGATCTCTACTAATGCATTAAGATGTCCAGACGGGCCGCTTCCAATTAACCAGGCCCGAGGTTTTATTGGAGTTCGTTTCTTATTAATTACTTTATATGTTAGCTAGAAATAATCACTCTCGACGTTCTAAGGAAAGACTCGAGTGGTTTCAAATTGAGGTACTAACATGCTCCTTTAATATCTAATATCTCAGCTAAGACATGTAATATTATTACTTGTCTTAGCTAACGACAGTTTTTTTTTTCTTTTTTGTGCTGGAGATCCTAATAAACTAAGATCTCAATTAATCGAGCGACATTTCAAGATTTCAACCTCGCTGCCGGAGTTATGGATTTGGGTGCTGTTTCTTAGAACAAGCGTTAGCACCCAAGGTACTAAAAATAAATTATTGCTTTTCGTAATTGGAGAGTTTGTGCGTATTTTGTGGCGCCTGTTAAAAGAGCGTTGCTGGTCACATAAAGCTAATTCGTCTCGAAGAGTTTGTCAGATAGCAATAATTTCTTCATAAAACACACGCTATCCAAGGTCTTGGGTTTGCCGATCCTAATCATGATTTTGCATTTGTTAATAGTAATTAAAATAGCTTTTACTTCCCATTGCTCTGGTGACCACTGTCAAAAAGAACGATGCATAAAACATTTTGTTTTTCTAACAGTTGGAACTTTCAACTATGCATCCCCTGTCGAAAGTTTCAACCGTAACAACAAATGTTTGAGCGACACACACAATAACGCTGATTTCACTGAAGCGCAATCCGCGTTACAAAAATGTGTTGTTACTGTTTGAACGTGTGAAAGATTACACGGCAGTGTGATGTCTCAAATAGTATGATTACACCTCCCGCAACATCGCAGCTTGCTTACTTCTTGCGTTATTTTAAGATTACTTTGTTTCTAAAACCATCAACCGTTCCACTGAAACACCATTAAAAAAAAATGCGGGATAACAGTTGATGGACCACGCGCCCGATTCGCACCCCGGAGTGGGTGGTTTCTCAGGTGTGAATCGCTGAATCGGGTGCGCAAGAATTGTCCCTGCATTCCTGTCTCACTATAGATTATACAGAATAAAACAAAACAAAAAACACCTCAACTTCGCTACTAAACGAGCTTCAATAAGACAGGCAATCTGTTTCGCACGCTCCGCAGCGGTAATCGAGTGTACTCCCACGTTTGAACGTTGACAGCGCTTGTCCACGCACTCATACCTCAATGAGAACAAGAACTTCTATGCCCAAAACAAGTCTCCAATCGATTTCCACTATTCCTCGCACAGCAAAAGGTAGACACAGAACGCAGCCGCGAATGTCCGATGCTGACAGCGGGCTTCACGTGGTATTCTTTCCACGAGAGCGGTGAGCGAAAAAGATAAGCGCGACGGTGACGTCAGGCAAAAACGACCGGCATAGTATATCTGTCTCGAACTGCAGTCCCCATCCCACGCCCCTGAGCCAGTCGAGCATACGTAATGTATTATGACTGCCTGGCAGGCAAGTTGCCTGCCGCTTCGCTCGTTTCCCTTAGGGCCTTGCCCGTGCGGCAAGGAATACAGAAGAGAGACGAACTTGACAGACAATCGCGAGATGTACTCCGCTCGGTTGCACGAGGAAAGGTTCAATGGGGAATTCGTCCCCCGCGGCAACCCAGGTTAAGACCTAGTTCCTCTGTGGCGTAAAAAAGGGGTACGACAAGTGGACAATAAATACGTCGTGTCGTGTGTGCTAGCATATGTATTGTTGTTGCTGTTGTTTTTCTTTTTTCCCAATGCTTATATTGGAGAAGCGCATTGCTAAGGGAGTAGATACGTCAACTGCTTGGGTTGCGAATCTTTGCTTCATGTAATCCGTATTACATCGCTACTATAAGTGAGTTTTAGAATAGCGAATCCAAAGGTGGTTGCGTCCTCAAAAGAAATACCGTCGTCGCCATGCGCCATGCCAATACTCAGTTTGGGCTCGGCGCGTGGACATTGGCAACGACGCTATTTTTTTGCGTGAGCAAAGCTTTTGAGTCCTATATTCTTAAACTCACTATAAACGCACCATACAGTAGAGTTACTTGCCGTAAATAATTTATTATCGTGTTGTTTCCACTTCGTGCTTTCGGTTTCGATTGTGAAAGCCGCGGTCCCGAGGTTAACCACCACAGACCACGGAACGCGGTTATTTTGGCGGTTACGTGGTCTTAAATAACTGTTACGTGGTAGAGGTTGTGCCACAGCACTCACTCTAGCACATGGAGTCCATGAATATGGCGTCACAAATATTGGGGTCCAGGTACCCTGGTATGTGACATCATTCCGGGGCTCTGCCCCCAAGCAATCAAACCGATAGCATTAGCGTGGCGATACAGTATTTCCGGCGTTTCGGATTTTGTAATATTTCCCGTTGTGTGTCATGATCTCTGTTGTCATAAGCATCACACAAAATCTTATGCCTCACCGGTCCCTTAAGCGGAATAAATTAAACGAAATGAAATGAAATATATTAAAAAAAACTTTATCCAAACTTTTGTTATTAAACTCTACCAAAGTTGTTAGAGCGTAATAAAAAAAGCTGGGCTGGTTGGTGTAGGCTAGACATAATGTAGCTAAAACAAAACAAAACGACAAAGACTAGAA